TTTTTTTTTTTATGGTGGAATGCGACAGGACGATCAAATTCACGTACTACACCCACTTCTTTATTTAGAAGAGCAAATAGTAGGAAAAAACTGAGGGTCTTTTTACACCATTTTTTTCGTTTATTGCACAACTTAAGCTATTTAGCCTTTCAAATCCAAAACTTTCCTGACAGCAGTAAAAGGGCTCGATTCTGGGCTGTGAATCAGTACTCATTTATCCTGGAAAAGCCATGAAATCTTGATTGCTTTAAAATGTTTCTTCCACATTTTATTAAATAAAATAAAAATAGAATCGAAGTCTGATGGCTCTGAAAACAGTACAGCAAATACTACGGAAATTAGCAGCCGCGCTAGTAAGTTCTTTTCATCTGAAAGTTTTTTTCTGCTATCTGTCAGTCCGATGAAGCCTACACTTCCACTCTTTTTAACAATATTTTCTGGCGTATCCAGTAACATGCACGTGCCTTGTACTTCTCTATTTTCTATATGCTTCCTTTATTTCTATGTGTTGAATAATATGCAAATGCAAAAATGCATATTTCAAGAGGCTGCCTGATGTGCGTGTTCGGAGACGAGTGACTGTGAACTTTTTGTCTTCGTATATAACTGCATGAGCCTCACTTACTACTGGCTAGCTAGATTTCGTATTGCTCACGTCTGACGTTCAAAAGCGCTGAGCAGTGTCATACCGGTCTTCTAAGGGCTGTCAGGCACACCTTGTTGCATTTATACGTTGCGAAACTTGATGCTGTTTTCACACCAAACTGAGGTGCTCCAGGACTGGATTATGTGGATGAGCTAAGTTCATACATCATAAAATGAATGAAGTGGATCTTACAAGTAGTGCTTCTAACTGAGCAGCTTTTGCTTCCATGTTTATAGTTTTTGCACATCATGCAAATGCAAAAACGCATATTAGCAAGAGGCTATATGTGTGTGCGTGTGTGTCTGTATGTTCGCACTTTTTGTTACTCACTTTTAACGCGCGAACCAGGAAAGCTCAGGAATATGTACCCATCGCGTGCACGAGTCCCCTCCCCCCCGTTTTAATACTTTTAAAAGCGTATGCCTGGGTTACACGCATTAATGCCTCAAAAAATATGCAAATTTTTTGGCGGGAAGGCGATCTCAGGAAAAAGATAGAATAGAGAGCTAAAGCTTTGCAGGGATGTTCTGCGTACGTGTATGAGCTAAACATCACACACGCTTGCATCATGCATACAGTCATGTCAGTGTTCGCAGTTGACGCTGTACCAGCTCGAAAACTAACTGAAAAATAATAGCTGAAATTTTGTCAGGATATTTATCCTCTATCTAGAAAATCAAATAAATAAGGTTTCGAACTGCGATTGGCTTACGCCTTAGAGTGCATTAAAGGTATTTGTAGCGAAGAGACGATTTCGCTTATCGGACAAGCTGCGAAGTAAAACTTTGCAGCAACACTTTATATCAATGTGCGATCTTAATTCAGTTCGGAGGCTAGATCCCCTAGATGCGGACATAATGGATACTTAGTTTTATTGCGAACTCAAAAGCGAGTGCATTTTGTGGTTTCCTGTTAATTATGATTGCCAGTTTTCGATGATCCACCCCTCTCCGGAAAAACGACCGAGCTTCGAGCAAAATTTAAAATCGTGCGTGCTGGAGGTTCATCCGGCCCAGTGATACAACACTACCGTCTCAGCCGACACCCTTTTCCCCTTGTATTCAGGATAAGACCAAAACACAAGTAACATAAGTCGGCATGTTGAACGACAAGCAGGAACCATACCTACTGTTGACGATTTGACTGCTGCAAGTTCAGCACAAAAACGCATGATCGCAAGGGAAGCCTGGTGCGCTGCAGCCTGGGGTATTTATTTTGTGGTAAAATCGGGAATTTCGGTGCAGGTCGTAGCGTTTGATTTGCAGGACCGTTGAATTGTTCTTTTGACAAATTGCGCGCGCTCATCGGACACAGCGATTTCTCAGTCCTTGGAATGCTTCAGAATTGCGCCATATTTTATGCTCTTGGAGATAATATTTCGCAAATCAATGTTTCGCAGATTGAAGGAATTTCAAATCGATGTTGGGGTCTACAGCCTATGCTATACCGGCAAAGGAATGGTTCGTTGCAGTTGACATAGATGTATCGTTCTGTAAGCTGAAAGGCTTTTTAGAGCGAGCGACAATGGTTGCCTACCAAACTTGCTTATAACTACATTTCTTGTTATAGTTTAACATCCTCATTTGCGCAGCCTGAAAAAGATGCTCGCAAGACATGTTGGCTGACAGTCAATGACAGCCCAGGACAGGAGGATCTGGTTTGGCTATGTTCAGCGTGTGGTTGCATCTCACTGCAGTAAAAATTCAAGAGAGCCTTAGCAGCCTTAGTCATTTAGTCTGCCTATTATACTGTGCCGCGAAAAAGTCCACAGTCCTCGGATCTCATCGTTCATTTTCCTGATTGCTCAATTCGTGCATTGTATGCAACACCTTTCAAAATCTGTTTGAGCGTTTCAGCTGTTAAAACGTTTACTCCAGCTGAGTCATGCAAGCCAGTTGCGTCAGCAGCGAGCGGCTCTTTTTGCAACAAACATCGATTTAAATTTAACTGAGTGGCAAGTTATGCTAATAACGAATTTCTTCTTTTTTAAATTTATTACAGTAACTTTGGATGAGAGGAATTTTGAAATAAACAGTATCTTCTGGATGCGTTTCAGCTTCTTTTTAGAATAATTTTTGGAAGTGAGACAGTTTTATTTTTGGTCTCAGCATGATTTCGTTACCATGTAGTTTTCCCAAAGCAATGAAAATTATGAATACAATACAATTTATTTCAATTCGAACAAAAAATTCTCATTCACATTGGTGAAACGGGTGGTAGCAACGACTGCTAGCAGCCAATAGCTGAAAATACCGTTGCTGCGAGATACAAATCTAATTAACGCAATAATTTTTTTCAGGGTATAGGCTGATGGTGGTTCAAAAGATGAGTATTTATACAGGAGACTGCAAGTGGGATAGCAGTTCAAGCGATTATCTCAAGTGCCTCTTCGAAAGGAATCTGTGGAGGAAGACAGCAGTGAAGCCATCGTCAAGCGATGATATCGAGGTAATCGGGCATGCGGCCGATCTCAACACCGATATCCTCCATGTTCTTTATGTCGATGGTATGCTTCGCTTCCGCTTAGCACATCTGTGATGAATAAGAGAAGCTCAGCGCCTGAATAACAGATCTATCCAGAATTCGTTGAAGGGGCATTTCGTTAAGCTACTTCATTTTGGCGTTCAAATTACAGCGCGCTTTGGCTGGAGTCAAGCATTTTCGAACCAAATTTAGTACCGCTTCGTCTGTAAATCACTCCTTTTACATCTCACTTTTCACTACGTTGTTAATTTCTGCTTTTTGACGCCTTATAACAGGAAAAAAGGGCACCATCTTGATTGCGGCATATGCCACGCGTGTATGTGGATATTTTTTGGCTCAGGTCGGTTAGCCATATCGATCTGTTTATCTGTTTCCAATCATTTTTACGAACACCTGGTTACACTTCACGACTTTTCATGGAACCCCTCTAATCTAGGCTGTTCTAGGCTTTCACCTCAAAAAGAAACCCAGGCTGGAACGCACCAGGCTCCCCGGTGCGATCATGCGTTTTTGCACTAAACTCACAGA